ACTTGCAAATCAAAAATATATCGGGCAGTCAATGGTGCATAATTTCGTCGACGAAATGCGAAGAAAAGTGGAGCCATAGCACATATTGCTGCATTATGCATTTCAAAGTTGTTACTTCTAATCGATATGTACAATTTAATAAGTGGTTGTAAGACAGTAAAAAGAATAAAATACCAGAATCTAAATTTAATTGAACTTGAAGAACGTTTTTCACACCAAGCTTTAAATATTAGTAACAAATTCAATGAAGAGATTTTCTCTTATAGTAATTGAAACCAAGTCTGTTTTTCCTCGTTTTTCGTAAAGTAGTTCGGCAAAAGTTGTAAACTATCGTTCAATTGATCAAATAGTGTGACAAAAGTGGATGATGTTTTAAAGTAAAGCATGAATTCTTCTAAAAGTAGGACTGAAATGGACGTGTATAATAATCTGATTGATCTGAACGACTTGTTAAAATGGCTAACGTTCAGAATTGCACGTAAACTTGCTCCATGATACAAATGTCCCAGTAGATCATCAATTCCACTTCCCTCCAAAATATTCCATATCAGAATCATGTAATTCTTTTTGACATGAAAGTCACCGGGCATTAAAAATATGTTATCGAAAATCTGTTCTTTATCTTTTACCTAAGAAACGAGAAAATTGATACTATTTTTATACCAGCTACAGGAGTTAATTATTAATAATAATTCTTAGAAATTGTAGCTACATTTAGTGTGATAGTAAAGAAGGTTTACATTAACACACTAGGACGGTGTCTACGTGAGGAAAGCAGGGCGTGTGCATATAAAACAGAATACCGACTAGAAAGCCTTGTATAAGATATAGGATCCCATGAATCTAATGCAGAGGTTAACCAATCTCTATCTTTTCTTAGAAAAAGGTTGTGACATTTTGTTTCTATCAGTGGAAACCAGAATTTTCGTGTATTTCTAAAGCGGAGAAAGACAAAATCGTCGGTAGCGGTGTGTAAACGTGTTTATCCAGCCGTTGCAGCGTCATTTTCTCTGTTTTAATAGGTAGTATGTAGGCTAAAATGTCTAGACGTTTAACACGAGACAACTCGCTCCTAAAGTTTTCAAATAATCCGTCATAAAGGCCAACGTATTGGAATTTTAGATTGTCCTCCTCAGTTTGTTTTCTATACACTTCTGACAATATTGTATAGAAGTAGAGCTGCGATGCGCAAACAAACTCCTTTCGTGTCTCGAACTTCAAATTTAGCGTTAAAGACTCCATATATTTTCAGGTTTTTGGACTCTCAACGCTCCTTACAAATAGCGAAGAAGGTGCGTTCTCGTCGGCTTGTATATAAATCTTTAAAATAGACTGACATATATCCCAGACTCTTTAAAATAAAAAACTCCCAACAACATTTGGTAATTCCAAAACCCTAAAGACTGAAAATCTATTTTAAATTCGCTTTAAAACTCTTCATTCGATTCCGACCAAAGTGACCATTCTAGGACGCTACCCTTTTTTTTAATGCTACCAAAATAGTAGAGTCGAAAAAGTGTCATTCCCTCGAATAAACTTCCTCAAAATATCAAGTTTATCCTATCTTTCGCTGTAGCTTGCGCCAGAGTGTGCTTTAAACTTGTTGTAAATCTCATGGTCTTTAAAATCGAAATCGAACATGATCGCTGAGTTCCAACTATTTTAGAAAATTTTTGGAGTTCGCTAGAGTTTCTGCCAAAAACAGTTTTGAGAAGATTTGTCCTTACAGACTTTCAATCTATCTTATATTTCTTGACTAATTTGCATAGAAGACAATCTGGTGTTTCAGTTTAAATCAAATTTATTCTTTCACGACACATCTTTCCGATACTTCAGTCTGTTCAACACGTGCCATGTTAAAACAAAACAATTTAACTTATGGCTAAAAAAGACGAGGAGTTTTAATTTCGGTAATTAGATTCAGCATTTAAAATTGTAGCGAAATTACATGGCATTTTACTGAACGTGAATAAAGATGGAAAGATATTAAATTGCTTATCCAAATCAGCCAGTACCTCTTCTTCTAAGCTTTTGCTCAGTATGGCTGCCGAAAGAAATATAGTGGAGCCACAAAAACTCACTTTTAAACAATTTGTATAAATCTTTTCGTCAGCAACAATCACTGTTTTTGATTGAATTTTTGTATCAAGTAATGAGGATTCTGTCATCTGCAGACTGATTTTTGCACATTCGAGGCTACTTGGATCTTCGTCAATCGGAGGTAAAAAAGATACATGATGAATAGGCCGTGGTGGCCAACGAATGTAAGATCCAAAGAATCCAGTGAGCATTGGAATATCACATTTACCACCAATAACCGAAACTAGTTGACAGAGACTATAACCAAATAACTCATTTTCCAACCAATGATCTTCCGATAACATATTCCAATTTAATGATGGATCAGTAGAATTAGACGAACGAGGAGCATCAATTTGCGGTAGCATTGTAGTTGTGGTAGTAAAAGTAGATAATGTATTAGATGGAGAAGATGCTGATATATTCTGGTCTGTAACACTGAACATGGATACTATAAAACATAGAAACGTATATTCTATCATATCACCGACAAAAAATTGAAGTTCATTTAGAGTTAAAGCAAAGTGCTTTTTCGTATTCAGCACACTTGATAACCTAGAAAATTTTCTATTCTTAGCGAGCGGTACCACCAATAAGNATTTGTTTGAAAATTTTTCTTAACTTTTTGACGGTACCCCTCGCTAAAAATAGAAAATTTTCCAGGTTATCAAGTGTGCTGAATACGAAAAAGCACTTTTCTTTACCTCTAAACAAACTTTAACTTTTTTTTATCGGTGATATGTTAGTTAGAAAATGTCCTCGAAATATGAGTACTACTCCAATATCTATCTATACAATTATTAAAGGCGACCAAATAATGTGATCACCATAATCTTTTCGCTCCTAACCAAAACTCTTTTGTCATCCGAAAAATTGAACAAAAGTGCAGAAGGCAAATCTATTTGTTATATATTTTTCTTTCGAAATGGAAATCAACATGCACAAATGCATCGAGAAACGCGTATCGTGTGAGCTGCGCCCCGGCCGTTGCATATCAGGATCTGTCTAATACAGATTTTTACTCCTATTGTTTCCCAAAACTTCTATGAGCAAAAGAAAAGCCTTTTCTCAGATTAATTGCTGAAACCTTACCATCTAGTATAGAATCTTGCCCCGTTAACGGAATATCACTTTCGAAGATGATCGATTCATCGAAACTATCGTGTAGTCCGGTGTTATTGTTATCAACTGTAATAAGATTTAGGGGATTTTGTATTATTATTTGGTTCAGAATATGAAAACTGCCTGTTCCATGCACCGTATCTCGGTTCATATCAGAATTATCGATGCATTTAATTGCAAAAATATTTGGCAAAAGTGCTGATGGCAGCTCATATCCGTTTCCTTCTTTTTTGGACACTAGATCATGTAATTTAGTAATTGATTTATAAGAACAAGCATGACCAAATCGGTTAAAGATTTTTAATAGATTAGCAGATCTTTCATTTTGAAGAAGTTCGTTAGCTAATAAATAATGTTCTGGACTTAAATACTGATCATTCTTACAGTTCATAATGTCATACACAATTGACTGAATTTTAATTGATTTAGTGTCATTTACAAACAAGTCCCTCTCAAACATATTCCAATACACCGTATTTCTAGTCAAATCATCGAACTTCGTATCGTTCAATGTTAGAAATCCAATAAAATTTCTTAAG